TCAAAATAATTTTTTCTGAAAGATGATCTTTTTTTACGATGGGTATATGCGCCCTTTAAAAGGCATAAGCCTATAACAGAGGCCCCACAAACGAAACTAAACAAAACAAAAAAACTGTCACAAAAGTAATCATTTAGTTCATTGAAAATACTGGAAATATTGTTTTTGTAGAAATAATTCTTTTTTATAGATGTTCAAAGTAAAAGTGAAACTTGGCACATACTGTGAAGAGCCTACAGTAGGTAACATAATTTGATATGTGATGCTAACTTCATATTTTCCCAAAAATAAGAAGAAATGTCAAACAATTTTTAAACTCAAGTTATGTATATCAATAAAAATTATTGAGTTTTCATTTTCAACACCTTGTAAAATAAGCAAAGTTATAGAGCAGACTACGGCTCTATATGTTCAGCCAGCCCTCTTCATGATGTTAGGGGGAGATTTTGACTCTCCTGGGTCTATAGATAAGTGAAAGACAGAAATTCTGCATTTTCTAATACAATTGGCATCACATTCGCAAGTAATCTTCAAGAGGAAGATTAGACAGTTTAACAGTTAAACAATTTAATCTTTTTCTTGAAGATGATCACTTGGTGATCGAAACACGTGTTGAGGTGTTAAAATAACGGTTTGGTTTTGGGAAAAATCTCCAGTAATGTTCATTACTACACTAAAGGTTCCAAACAGTGCATCACAAGTAAAAAAAAGGTAATACAAATCAAAAGATTTCAAACCAAGTTACTTCACGACGTTTCGATTGTTAGTATCCACAATCGTCTTCAGGTGATGTTATCACCCGAAGACGCATATTCGCATTTATACACATATATACAAATTTACAGTTAAACTCTAAAATTTCAATATGACTAGGTATTCGAATAAACATCTTAATGGTGTTAAAATATATTGAGTCTTTGACTAGAGTAGACACTGGTATGAGTAATCTTAGGTCATTAGTTTAACAAAGGGCATAATTATTGGAGTAACTAAATATCAGTTTCTGTTTGTTGATCAGAATGTTTCTAAAATAAATGTTCCTGAGACTCTAAAAATTTTATGTAGTTCAAACAAGGATTTGAGGAGTCTCGACTTTCGGCATTACAAATGAATCTTATAGCCCTCTTATGTATAATGAAAACAGTCTGTGCAATTGAGTTCTGCAACATGTTTTCCAGAAGGGAATTCCATACCTCAAATGAGAATATATGTGTGACAAATAAGCCGATATAACGGCAAACAAACCAAGTTCCTTATAAGTCATTCTCACTGCAAAACACCTTGAAAGTGGCTTCTTATTAAGGGTTACAATATGATCGACGTCGACGATCGACTTTCCAGCCGATAGCGAACTCCTCAAAAAAACTGGCATTGTATTAAGAAATAATACAAAAAAGCAATTAATATATCTGTTTAGCATTCGATAGAACAATTAAGGTGTTTTATTGCCTCGGGGTCAGAGTTCAATTCCCGGGTCAGGCAAAGTATTGTCTGTTAGAAAACTCTTAGTAGTAGCACGGAGTCTGGAACTGTACCCGGTGTATGGCAATAGCCTCATTCCCTATTACATGGGACTAATAACAAAACTAGCGAAAACTGGGTGTTATATTTAATGTGTCATCTCTGCCTTGAGGCCTAGCTCTTTGGGGAATAAAAGGCCAACTGTCACATTTGACTTCAGGATTTCATCACGCTATTTGAGAGTACCTCAGAACATATCACACACTGTATTGATAATCCTTCTTTGCACATAAATCCAATTTTCAAATACTTTTTGTCATATTTTTTTTTGTTTTGTTGATGAAATATGTTTCTGTGATTTGCTCGTTTGTTTGAAATTGAACTTGTACATTTTGTGAACAGCTTAGCCTCCGCCATTACGTAAATTCAATCGTGTACCCCCTATGACTCAATGTCGTATCCCCAGTGGTACACGTACCCCATTTTGAGACACCCTTGATTAAATCAATATAATGAAATATAAGTATTTGTTGAATTTTAGAGATTCAGACTTCCATTTTCCAAAATGTTGATAGATACAAAATTGTCTTCTGGTAAAGACTATCATCATCAATTTGTGAATAATAACAGAGGAAACAAGTAAAATATCTAATAAATTAACTTTTTTAAACAATAGAAGCTCAAACTTCCAACTTTCACAAGAAAATATTTTCAACCACTTCCAAGCCGAAATATTTGTTATTGTGCTATTTGATTATTGATTTTTTGTAGGAAATAAACAAGGAAATTAATTATTTACCTGTGCCTGGAACTTCAGTTGATTCTCCAGGTGAGAATTACTTTCACGTAAATTTTTTATATCAACAAGAAGTTCTTCTTTTTCTTTTGCCCACTGCTTTAGAAGTTTATAGGACTCTCCCTTTTCATCTTCAAGGGAACTTTTTCTATTCAATTCTAATTTTCTCATTTCGGACATCTGATTAACAAGTTCAAGAATTTCTATATCATTCTTGGAGGTTCTTGAATTATCAGTTAGAATACTTGGAGTTTTCTGTGATATTATTGATTCAACTGCTGCTTTATAAGGTTCATAAGGTACAAATTTAGGTTCTTTTGGTTTCTTGATAAGGTACTTTGGTGCTTTTCTCATTTTAGGGACATATCTTGGTACCAAAGAGTAAACCTGAGATTTTGGTTCAACAGGAGTAAAAGATCTAATTTTATCAATTTTCAACTTGGGTCGTACTGGAGAGAACCTAGATGTTTGATTAAATCTGCAAACATCATTCAATGAAATATTATCCATTCCATCTCCAAGTGTTCTTATGTTTTCCTGCATAGCCTTCCTTTATTATCAAAACAAATTTAGCCAGGGAGATCAAGAAATCGGATAAATTACTTTTTTGTTAATATCTTTTTTCAGATAAACAAAAAAAAGTGGCTCTCAAAACTTTTAGTCTTCCTACATCTATTGCAGCTGATGTGCTGATGTGTTTGTATATATGTAATTTTTGTCTTTTTATGATTACAGAAACAAAAAAACACTGTTTGGTATAACAGTGTTGCCAATAATGAATTAGTAGGAAACTCACAGCTCTGACGCAAATTCAAGAATTTTCATACCTCTGCTATCACGAAACTTAATAGCAAAGGAAAAATGTATTCAAATTACCCGTGATAAAAAATCATAAAAGTAATTCAACATATACTATGTGTCCAAAATAAGAAAAACTAGCATGGGATAATTGGGAACCATGAGAGATATACAGTTGGTGACAGTTGTCCATTTCAGAGTTCATTTAATGTCCGACTTGACATGAAAATTTTACATGATTAATTTTCATGGTTCTTTTTTTTGAAATGTATATCTGTTCTCAGGTCCAATATATATGTTTTTTTTACATTTCTGTGATCAAAATAAAACTATCAAAAGATTTCATTTCCTTCGCTGCAATAAAATTGTCATGTTTTCAATAATTTTTCTCACTCACACCTTTGCCGTGGACTCGAACACGACTTATGTAAATTTAGTTTTTGAACAAAGTGATTTTGTAGTAAGTAGTTACCTTTGTATTGAAAGAATGGTAGCGAATTGTTTAATTAATATTAAGTTGAATTCACAAACACAGATAATGGCAATATATTCAGATCTGCGACGAAACTTGATGCGCCACTCATTTCTGTATTCACAAGCTGATACATTTTGAAAAGTTTGTAGCTAAAACCTGTAATGTGTTAGTTCTCAACTTTCCTTGTCTTTATATACAGTATTTTTATGTGAAATTTTAATAACAATGATTATACAGCACTCTATGAGCCTCTTTTGGTACCAACATCTACAGTTTTGTTTTCGCAAACAATATACTTGTCATAAACCTGCTGCTGAGCGGATAGATTTTCGTAATAGGGAAATTTTATTCTATTAGTCCAAGCTGACTAGTTTTCAGGAAAGATTCAACTATTTGTATGGGTACAATAATGATGACATAATTCATCATTTAATCTGGATGTGCATTGGGCTCTGGAGCGTTTTATACATTAGTAAATTATCTTATTTCTGAGTCATGTTTCAACAATCCGTTTCTTTACTTATCTGTAATCACAATCCATCGAATACATCAGTGACGTCACAACCATCCATTAATGGGATTCATCGATGTTTCATGTTGCTTTCAAAAATTTGGCCGGTGGTTGATCCTTATCGATGTATTAATCGATGTTTTTCATGTTGATTTTAAAAACACTTGCTCGGTTATTTTGCCAACACCAACATCACTTACAGACGTTTGTTTAAGGGTGGTTGAAATGTTTCGTAGTGCATTTCATTAGTTCGTACTTCCATTGTCTAATATGATATAAAATGATTTGAAATCCCTGAAAGCATCTGTAAATAATTTTAAAAAATTAGCTGAAAAAATAACAATTATATTAAGCAAAAAAAAACTGAAATTACAATGAAATAAAATACAAGCAACAACCATCAAAATAAAACAATTGAAATATTAACACGAGATGAAAATAAAAAAAAAATTAAAACAAAAAATGAAAATTAGAAGTTAAAAGATTCCAAACCAAGTTGCTTCACGATGTTTTGATTGTTAGTATCTGCAAACGTCTTCGGGTGATAACTGGGAGTTGGTCGTGTTCAGCTTGATTAGAGGTTTCAACATGTTGCATATCTCTACGCATTTAGCCAAGCTAGCGTAGACATACGCAACATATGAAAACCTGTAATCAAGCGAAACACGACTAACTCCTGCCAAACGGTCAGCTCCCGCTGAAACTGATGAAGCGGAGAGAGGAAAGAGGGGATAAGTGAAAGCACTTGAATGACCTAGAAGGATCTCAGATCTCGAAGGAAACGGATGAACACTTTTTTCATCCATCTCACCCCAGCCAGGTAGGGGTACACCGTAAATGGTGATACGGATGTCTGATGACTTTCATACCGCCACCACCTCTCAGTCATGATCCATTTGTCCTTCTGCCAAAAATCAGTCGCAAGGGTAAGGCAGCTAGGCTCCAATCTGTCTTAATTGAAAATGGCTGTCGATGAATAAGTCTAGTTAGTTAGGAAAGCTATAGACTATGCTGTAGATGACCCCTCCCGATATAGAAGTCCCCGACACTCTGTCGCATGAGGCCCCCATGTCCCCAGTTAATGGATGAACAATTTCCTCATCCACTCACCCCAGCCAGTCAGGGGTTCAGCATGAAGGGTGGTCTGGTCTAATGTCTGAGGATATTTATGCCGCCATCCCATGATCAGACATGACCCGTTTGTCCTTCTGTCAAACACCAGTTGTAAGAGTAAGGGAGCCAGGCTCCAACCTGTTCAAAATTAAAATAGCTGTCGATGAATAAGTCCAGTTATTACCCGAAGACGATTGTGGATACTAACAATCGAAACGTCGTGAAGTAACTTGGTTTGGAATCTTTTAACTACCAATTTTCATTTTTTGTTAATATTTTTAATTTTTAAATTTTCATTTTGTGTTAATAGTTCAATTTTTTTATTTTTTGGTTGTTGCTTTTATTTGATTTCATTGTAATTTCATCTTTTTTTTTGCTTAATATAACTGTTTTTTTTCAGCTAATCTTTTTTAATTGTTAACAGATTCTCTCAGAGATTTCAAATCAATTTATATCATATTAGACAATGGAAACCTGAACTAATGAAATGCATCACTTACAGAACTGTTTGTTACTTGAAAGTGGTGTTCTGGGATACTAGCGCCAAACGCTTTTTGTTTGAGACACTTTTTTGACTCGAAGATAATTCATAACCTAATGAAGATGTTTATATTCGAAGGCAACAATTTGTGAATTTGTTGCTTCAGATTGTAAGCATTGGGTCATTAAGGTCGTTATAAATTGAATTAGCTTTTAGACATAACAGTATTTTGTAATGTAATTCATGTGATGGAAGACAAGTGAATATCCAAAATATGGCAACGTCGAATACTCCCAAGTGAAGATTCCTCCAACACTGTTTTTCATCGGCAGGGGCCACGTCGTCATATTGGGGATATACGTCTTTTCCTTTGTTTCAATTTGACTTTGACATTTTGTTTGTGTACTTCCCATAATTCATTGTATTTAATGCTGGGACTCAAAAAATTATTTTCATTTGTTGAGAAGGGAAGGTTTTCGTTCATTATTAACTTGACGTTGAAATAATTTCAATCCATAGTTGTTGAGTAGTTGTAATAACTCTGGTAAGTGGAAATATTTTTGTTTTTGCTTGTTATAAAACTAATCATGTTAACTAATTTCAAACTTGACGATTATAGACAGATACGCACTGTTTTCTAAGACTGAATATTGGTAGATTTCTCCAATCCTTCAAAAACCATTTTTGAGCAATGATTACCAGATATGAGAATAACAATGCAAGTAAAATTTATACAATTTTTGAGCGAACTTAAAGAGAAAATATGATTGTACAGATTATATGACTGTAAAAAGATACCTGGTTTATATATGTCACAAGTCATCATAAGAAATTCACTTTTTCAAATCATTACTACTGAAATCTCACAACTCATGCATATAGATATAGTAAGTATATATAAAATAACTTCTATGCTCATGCATGAATGTTTCCTCTGAAAATTAATGGTGAACTGTTTATGATTTACCTATTACAACTTGTGTTATATGACTTCAGAGATAGAATGGATCAACTCTATATCAGAAAACATTAAAAACTGAGAAAGCAGTTGAGTTTTACTTATAATTGTGGTTATAAATAAATATTCTGAATATAAATTTGATTTTCAGATATCTTATTTTGTGAGATATACTAATTTATGGTTTAATCACTACCACAAAGATTACAAGAATGATACTTCAGTATCAATTCAGGTTCAGTTTTATACCTTTCTCCTTTCGTTATCACCGTTCAATACCAAGCCAATGTAGTACATTCAATTTAATTCAATTCAAACCTAACTTAACCGCAAAGTATGAAGTGATTGTTCATAATTTAGAATCAGTAATAGATCATTTGAAAATTTACTTCCTGTTATTTTTTCAGTTCTGAAATAAAAATAACTAAAAAATTTTTTTTTTAAATATTGACATCTCCATATGCTGTGAGTTTCAGACAGTTCCAATGAAAAGATGAAATTCAAAAATCTTGTTATTTTTTTGATTCACTATTAAGACTTACATTGATGGTGATACTTGCGTATTCCGTAATTTCTCCCTCGATGCTATATATAAGATGCTTATTAAGATATTCAGGAAAATAAATTGGTGAAATGTTGGAACTATTACTAAATTTATTTCCAAGTGGTTCTCATAAATAATGATTTTGGTAGATTCAATGCACCATCTGAAGGTATATTATAAATAATGCATTTAAATCTGAAGTGCTTGTCTGTATTCGACTGAAACTATGCATATAATAAACACTCAAACCAGTTACAGTCGAAGCACAGAAACAGGGAATTCCCATGGACACTAATTTGGTAAGTATTCGACTGTCGCTTTGATTCTCAAGTCGCTTACCATATCTATGCCAATAATGAAAAGTGCTCAGCTCAGAAAATAGGGTGATTATCTGTAGAAGCTTTGCCAATTTCTAATAAAATTTACCATTTCTGGAGTAAATGTTAATATATTCGATAGCAAATATAAATGCATAAGTATTTAAAATTCCTGGGAAACAAATTTATTTAAAACTCATGAGAAAGAATGTTACCGGAATTGTCGTTATAAATTGAATTAGCTTTTAGACATAACAGTATTTTGTAATGTAATTCATGTGATGGAAGACAAGTGAATATCCAAAATATGGCAACGTCGAATACTCCCAAGTGAAGATTCCTCCAACACTGTTTTTCATCGGCAGGGGCCACGTCGTCATATTGGGGATATACGTCTTTTCCTTTGTTTCAATTTGACTTTGACATTTTGTTTGTGTACTTCCCATAATTCATTGTATTTAATGCTGGGACTCAAAAAATTATTTTCATTTGTTGAGAAGGGAAGTGTAATAGTCGGGTAAATAGAGACAGGTTTCTGCCTTCAAATGTGGAACATTGTTCTCAGTA